AATTACCTGAAATATTGCAGGCATCTTCAACCACATTCCAGACACTCTCACATCCATTTCCAGCATTAATACATTGCTCCCTCAAGTGCAGACAGTCAGTAGTCTGGACAGTAGATATACATGTGAAGTAAATGAACAACACTGTAAAAATAGAATATAATGACTATTTAATGCAGTAGATATTATACTGACCCTTTTCCTTTACATGTAAGTTTTAAAAATATAATTTACTATAGTTTACTTATAGATTCAAATTTGCTATCAAATTAATTTTTAGCAGAAAAAAAGCTTTTCCTCAGTTTTGCAACTGGAAAATTAAATTTAAACGTTCAGAGTTTCAGTGTGGCATATTTCGCATTGGTTTAACCCCAGTATTATAACAGCAGCCATATATGACATCAGTGAATACATATAGAGAAATTGCTGCAGTTCTGAGATCATAATAAATTACAGGAAGGAAGACAGTATGAAATTCAGAGGAAACAGCACTTTATTCACATGAAATCTCACCAAGCTAGGCTGTTTAGGAATTCCTATGAATCCAGAGTGTGAAAGAGATTTGATAACTACACAACTGCTGGATAATAAACATTATTTTATTTTATAAATACAGTACTCTTCACACTCTTTATTTTTACTTCACAGATGCATCATTTCTTGAAAGCAACCCCCACATGTATGCTTTTATCTGTTTTCCTAAGGGCATTGAGCCTGTTAATTACATTTAAAAGTTCTGGAGGTTTCAAGCTAAAGAATTTTAAAGCAGCACTGCCTGTGACTTATCAGTAGAAAATTAAATTGCCTTGTTAAGAAAGGATAAAACAGCTGGACTTTAGCTCTTTCATTAACATTCCCATGGTAAGAAAACCTCTAATTTGTAATCACGTATCTTTATTTTCTATAAAATTAAGTTTCAGTCACTGATTTCAGGCCTTATCAAACTACCTGCTGAACATCTGATCATCTAATGTGTTTTCTTTAGTTGTTGAAGGATGTAGCATCTCTCTGACAAAATACCTTCCCCCCCCCTCCCCCACTCCCCCCCATATGCTCAGGTAAATTCATATGGAATTTGAGTGGTTTCCAGCATTGTTTAATCCCTTAAACATCATGTGCAAGACGCATGAAATATTGCTTCAGGATTTGTCCAGACCCTATCCAAAGAAATTAAATTTTTCCAATAATACATTTCAGAATAAGAAATTATATATCAAAGATCCCTCTTGATAACCTTAAAGTGCCACTACTGTTTAGAGGTGATGCCATCCCTTCTGGAAATTATTTACCAGTGATATAATAATGCAGCTGTAGGGAGGACTTTTTGGATACATGTCCATAAATATGAAGGAACATTTAATACTTTATAATTGACAGGTGCAACAGCAACGATGAGACAAAGAAGAGGCCACATATGCTTATTATAGCTGGTGCTAATCCTTCCTCAGTTGTGCATATTCCTGGCAGTTCTCAGATCTCTGCAGGACTGGTGGTGATTTCAGTGAGTTCCAGCCTGAAACACTGTCTGCTCATCAGCCTCGAACATATTGATAGGAACAGCTCCTACCTCTTGACATTGAGGAATGTGCAGCTGGCTCTGTCCATAGGGACAATTTTGGCTTATTATGACAACTTTTTAGTTCTAATACTGCCTCCAAAAGGTCTTTCTTAATGTGAAATTATTCACTATTTATTCAGATGTCAGAGAAAAAAAGTTATCAAAGTATATATCACAGGTGAAAATGACTGCATATATAAAACAATACAAAATTACAAACCCACAAATTTACTAAGAAAAGGTATTTTGCTGGATGACCACTTATCTATTTTGCAGGTTCTAACACAGCAGAAGATTTACTTATCTGACTAGGATTCCCAGCACAAAGTCTCTGTGCTCTCTTCCTCATGTTGAGACAGTTTTCAAGGACCAGTGGCTGAGACAGTCAAAACCAGGACTGATTGCACAGCCTTCCTGCTACTTTTTAGGGAGTATTTCACATTGCAGCTCATTTTGAACCTTCCTGGAAACTGGCCATAAAATAGGAGGTGATTCTTCGCAAAATAAAGAGGTGAGCACCATAATCTATGTTTGAAGGTACTTCAGCCTAAGAAAGGGCTTTTTTAGGTCTAATGACACATTATGGATGGGTCTTTATTTCCTTAGCTGTACAAAGGGGGTACACTGCCAGAAGCCTACATGAAACAAACGGTCCTATATGATTTTAGAATCCAGGGCACTGGAGCTTATGCAATTCCTTAAAACGACAGTTATTACTTTAGTTGCTCACTTTAATTATTTATTGTAGTGTTTGGAATACTTAGTGACTTCTGCATAGAAGAGTTCAAGGCATCTAAGAGTTAGTTGGTAGCTACAACTTTTAGAGGGATCCATATTGTCAAGAAGACACACATTTAAATATTTTATTCAAAGGCCTATTCATTCACTGGCTAGGTGTAAAATTCTCAGTTCTCTGTAGAATTTGGTGTCTAAAGTCAAAAGGAGGAGGGAAAAGGAACACTTTAGCACCTTCATTTTGCAGATTGAGAACTGAGGAATGGAGGAATTACATTTCCCAATTCTGCAATCCTAATAAAATGTAAATAAGTAATAATGAGTATTGGGAAACCAAGCTGTGGTTTCTATCCAATGGCAAGAGCAGCAAGATAACAAGCTCCGAAGGCAAAATGACAAACTACAGCTGGATATACTTTGAATATAGTTGAAAAGTGATAAAGGACAACTTTATTCTAACAAAACCTGGGGCAGAACTACCAACAGAATACTTTTAACACAGAATTAGAAGTTTAGAGTAGTGGGGTATTAAAAAGAGAAGCAGCATGTATACAGTATGCAGTGAGTAGAAAAGGAGAATAACAAAAATTAAAACATACCTGTCTCACCATATTCTACCTGTACCAAATCTTTCTGTACCAGCTGTGTTGATTTTCCCTTTTTCTCCACTCAAACCCAAAGGAGAGTCAGCAGCCCTGTGTGTAGCGCTGGCAGCACCCAGCGCTCCCCAGCCGCCCAACAAGTGGCTGCTCATTCGGACCGAGCGTCCCAGCCAGGGTGTCCCGGCCGCTTCCATCCTTCCCTCGCTTCCATCCTTCCCTCCGCTTCCATCCTTCCCTCCGCTTCCATCCTTCCCTCCGCTTCCATCCTTCCCTCCGCTTCCATCCTTCCCGCCGCCTTTCCCCTGCCCTGCCCTGCCCTGCCCCAGCCCTGCCGGGGCTCCCCGAGCCGCGGGGCCGAGCCGCCGCCGGGAACCCTCGCGGGAGAAGGAGCCCTGGGGAGGGAGGGAGGGAAGGAGAGAGAGGGGCGCGGGGCGAGGCGAGGGTCCGGAGCTGGACGGAGCCGCCCGCCCGCCGCACTTACCGGGGCCGAGGAGCGCGGCCATGGCGGCCGCAGGTGCCGGAGCGACACCGCCCCTTCAGCACCGGCCCGGGGACAGCGCCCGCCGGCCCCGCCCGCCGCTCCGGGCGGCTCTGCCCCCGCCGGCGTCTGTGCCCCAGCCTGTGTCTGTGTCTGTGCCTGTGTCTGTGCCCCTGCCTGTGTCTGTGCCTGTGTCTGTGCCCCTGCCTGTGTCTGTGCCTGTGTCTGTGCCCCTGCCGGCGTCTGTGTCTGTTCCCCTGCCCCAGCCTGTGTCTGTGTCTGTGCCCCTGTCCTGCCTGTCTGTGCCCCTGCCTGTGTCTGTGCCCCTGCCAGTGTCTGTGCCTGTGCCTCTGCCTCTGCCCCTGCCCCTGCCTGTGTCTGTGCTCCTGTCTGTGTCTGTGCTTCTGACTGTGTCTCTGCCTCTGTCACTGCTTCTGCCCCTGCCCCTGCCTGTGCCCCTGCCCCTGCCTGTGCCCCTGCCCCTGCCTGTGCCCCTGCCCCTGCCCCTGCCCAGCCCTGCGGACAGGGGCAATGAATGGAGCCTCCCATTCCCGGGAGCGGCCTTTCCTGATGCTGTCACACACTCTGCTTACACTTCTTCTCTTGCCACAGCCGCTGGCCTGGACTGTGTCCAGAGGAGTTCTTCAGCATCTTCCGTGAGATCTGGTGCTCCCTCTGCACTCAGTTCCCATTTGATCTCCAGAGAAACTAACAGAGAAGGTCTTTGGCTGCTGCCTATGAGCTCTTTGGAAAACGCTTGTTGCTACGTCCTATGTCCTTCTGTAAGCACTTTTCAACACATTTTATAAGTGAATTTGTTAGTTTTCATCTCAAATGTGGAATACAGTCTTGATCAGTAAGACCTATGGAATATGTTGGACGGCAGACCAGGGAAACGAATAATTAATCTATAATCTAGACCCAAACTGGACTATGAGTGTAACCTCAGGTGTTCCACTAAAATACCTCAGAAAACAGTTTGCCACACGAAAGTCAGCAGCTGACTTGGTGCTTAACAATGAAGCAGTCAACCATAAAGGATGCAATCATACACCTGCTGGCTTCAGTGCAGTGTGTGCTCTTTGCTTTTGCAGTGGAAGGAGGAGGAAGCAACAGATCTCTACTGATTTCTCCATGCTACTCATGAATCTTGTTTTCAGAAATAACCTATCCCATACAGAACATTTTTTACTGTATTTGATCCTTAAATGCCTAAACAAAAGATGTCATAGAATTTCCATCTTAGCTATCAGAGAGACAGGTACAGTGATTGAAATCCTGTCCCTACTGACAAAGCAAAACTTGACCCAAAGTCCAGATTTCAGTTATTTTTCTTAGTTCAGGAAAGATCAATCATATTTTTTTACATAGATCTTTTTTAGCTTAGTTTTTTAAACTGCATTATTTATTTAAGCTCTTAATGACAAAATTACTAAATATTTGTTTGTGGGATTTTTTAATTGTTTAATAATTAATATATTACTTCACCCAATATATCCAACAGCCACAAAAAAAACTAATTGTCAAGTAGAAAGAACAGACTGAGAGATTAATATAATTTTTAGCTGTGAGACAAATTCTAGGTCAGAAAGCTAAATTTGCCTTTACCTTAAACCACTGTAATATGCAGCAGTAGGTTATGATACGCCATAGAGTAAGGGCTGAGTTAAACTAATGTTTGGTGTATTCTCCATCCAGGCATCCATATAAAGCACTCTCCAGGTTAATAACACATATCAATTTTGATAATATCAGAGAATGAGATGGTTCTCTCTATGTAGTCCAGAAGAAAAGGAAAAACATTGCGGTTTTGGAGGTGGAGACAGGGAGATGTTATTATCTTGCATTCATTGTGACTGTAAGGCACAAGCTTATCACTACAGTGAGAACAATAAAGGAGAAACAGGTCAGGATATCAAACCTCCAAGGCTGTGAAATATGTTGAGAGACAAAGCACCTGCATGATGGTGGCATAACAACTTATATCTGCAGGAACAAATATGCTGTGATTTAAACCCCGTGTTTAATGCTGCTGTGAATGAGCAGAAACAATGCCAGGAGAACTCCATTTCTCCATTTCTCTCCATTTCAATAGTGGAAATATTGGAATAGCAAAACAGATAGAAGTTACAAAACTCAAAGCTCAGCTTTCATATAACTTTCCGTATTTATATACTGGATAAGAAGTGTTCATTCATTAAATCCTCTCTTCTCACAGCTCTTTCTATCTCCATTGCTGGCTATTGCTCACTATTTGGTTTATTTCTCCCAGTGATTCTTTTAATTTAAAAAGGTATTTCTTGAATTTTGTGAAACTAAAGAAATAAAGCATAGGAATATTTTCATTAAAAAATTTATTTTTGAATTAAAAGTCTTTTAATAAAATAACCAGATATTTATCTTGATAACCATATTTCACCAATATTTAGCTTCATAACCATAGTCTCTGGCAAAAATTGGTTAACACTCTCTAGCTGTACTTAGGATTTCAAATCTGATATAACATCTGATTCATGTCTGAAAGATATGCTGTTTACTCAATAGAAATTGTCCAGAGGAAACCCAGAATCATTTGCTAATGAATGTCTCATATTTTATTTATCTTCTCCACATAAAATGTACTGCTAAGTTAAAGTTGTGGTTAAAAGAAATTCCTAGAAATGTTGGAACAATTTAATTCTGGAGATCTAGGTGAAAATAAGAAAATATATAAAAGAGAACAATTTCCCTTACAAAGACAAAATTAAGGCCAGAACCTCCCTTTCTAACATGACACAGAGCACCTCGAGGCTGCAAAAACTACCATTGACTTTCAGTGATGTTCTTGCCTCAGAACTAACTTAGCTACCACAATTTATCCCCCAGGCATTAAGGTAGCAGCAAAAAGAATATAAATTGTGCCAGCAGGTGGTATTCACCCCCTCTTTAGAAAGATGCCAATTAGGATTTTTCCATGAGCATCACTAACACCAATATTTTAGCTCCTTGTTTGCTGGCTCACATTAGGAGCACTGTACCCTTTTTTCTCTCTATTCGTCTCACAGGGATCTGGGCAAAGCACCTGACAAGGCATAAAGATTTTGCTGGCCTTCCACAGCGACCCATGACCTTCAATGCTTGAAAAGTATACATACTCTCCTCTTATGCTGTCCAGGTTTTCTTAAATAACCATTGCTTTCTAAATTATTTCTCTTTCTTCAAGGAAAAGCTAAAAATACTTTTTCTGAAATAAAGATATAGCTTTACCAAATTTAGGCATAATAGACATTTTTCAACTGTGGGCTGAGATATTTTTTGTCTCAAATAAATGATTACGGATAATTATTTTGTAGCTGGGTTGCTTTACTAGTTTTTAACTTTGAGACTATTTATTTGCTTATAGCTAAACAAAAGAAAAACTTAGAGGACTTTTTAAAATTAAATTTTCCCATATCTGTAATGTTATAATTCAGCAGCTGTTTGTCCAATGATTTCAAATTACATAGAAAAGAATGGATCTTGTTCAACACTCTTTAGCAATTCTGCACTTTCCATAGTTGAAGAGCAAAAATAGCCTTCTCTTGGTAAAGGAATTGTAGTAGCTATGAAATCAAATCCTGCTCTGCTTTCCACAGTTATTTGGGGTTAATTTTCTTAGAAGAGACAAGGCAAAATAATTTCTTAAAATAACATTGACATAATAGCTATACTTAAAAATTAAGCTTACACATAGGAATATTGAAATTCCCATTATTTTATTTGATATTTAAACATTCTGTCCATTTAGATACTTTTCTTTATTCTTTTTTAATCAAAAAAGAGTATTGTCCTTTTTCTCTTTAAATAGAAAACTTTAATATACAAATGAATGCAAATTCCTTTCTCTCACTTAACATCAATATAAACTAGGAGGAATTGCAGCAATGTCAAGTCAAACAGCTGTAGGGGAAGGCTAAAGCATAAAGTGATTGACCACTTCATAAAACTATAGTTGCCATGACAGATAGTACATTGCATGAAATTAGGTCCAAGGACAACCTAGAAAAAATATTTACAAAAGGTAATCAAATAACACCTTGTCAGTTAATAATTGGCTTTATAGAAACATTTGAATACATGAGACTGTCTTCTTTCTATACCAAATGTTTTTTAATGAAAAAAAGTCCTCCCTCTCATCTTACCCTTTCTTTTGAAAAATCTGGACTGAAATGCAAGTATAGTGCCACAGGGGAATTGTATCTCAGGTTCTGATAATTAGCCTTTTTCTAACCAGTAGACCACATTCTTCTAGAAGACTAAGTCCAGTGATGCACCATCTTCATCCTCTAAGGAGAAAAATAAAATACATAGTAGGAAGCTCCAGGTCAGGGAGATTATCCCATAAATTGATATGTAGATTTGTAAGTTGATTGTATCTTTAGTATTAAATGGCAGTTGAGAGAGAAGTCATGAAAATGAAAGACAAATAGTGTTTCCTATGTTAAAGATTTTCCAAAATCTTCTGGAGCAACACTTAACACGTTATGTACTAAGAAAAGCTACCAAAGTTAAAATGTCCTGTCCTTTAACGGTGCTCACATTTGTTATTCCTATTGGCCTGAGTAGGAAATTTGAGCCTATAGCACCTTTGAGCATCACATAAGTTTTATTTAAATGGTTGCTTTTTAGGCACTCAAATCTGAAAAAAAAAAAAAAAAGGGCTGTTTAAGTGTAATCTTATGAAAACCTGTGACTTTCCACACTTTGGATTCACACCTTAGAAGCATGTCTGTACTTAGAAAAATAATGTGGACTCTCCCCAAATCAATCTGAAGTGAAAGTTCCATAATAAACATAGAACTTACTACAAGTGGATTTGCAAAAAAGAAGTGCAAAGTAATGCTGGAATATCACTAGTGCATAAGTAAGCATTCCTTGTTCATGAGTCAATCATTTATACAAAGAGGATATAAATAAATGATGTTTGAGCCTTCTTTCAAATACTTAAATTTCTTTATATGATATCTTTTAGAATATTTCACAGCATCTAAAATATATAAAAATAAA